GGCTCTGTGCTGGAGCCACCCTACTACCTCCTAGGAATAACACCTGAGCATGATTACAGCTATTTTCAGAAGTTATTTTGTATAGGTAGTAGGGACCAGACTGACAGGACTGACTTGCTCTGGCACCATCCCAGCAGGCTCTGTATCCCCTGCATCCCACATCCTTACCCCATGCACTGGGGAAGAGTGCACACCCTCACAGTCTTATTACCTCAACACCCCTCCCAGGGGCTGCAAACAGCTCTTTTATCTGTGTGGGCCAAATTCATCCTCCTGGCTGTAGAAGACAGAAAAACACACAGAGATATGGCTGAAGCACACCAGAGGGTTGCAAGGGAATGCAGACAGATCCCCTGTGGCCATTCAGGTGGAGGAGGCTGGGAGGCAAGAAGCAGAAGACAAGAGAGGTCACCGGTGGCAGCTTGTCCCAAGATGGCCTGGAAGCCTGCCACTGAGAGTGAACCTACAGCCAGCAGTAGTGCCAAGGCAAATTTCAGAAACCGAAATCTGTTTATAGTGAGGCATGGGATGCCAAGAGGCATGCTAGGACAGCTTGGCACACTGGAGGGTACAGTAACAAGCTACACCAGAGGTTTGGCTCCGGTGAAGAAGCTGTGCTTTGGTAACTCACAACCTAAAACACCAGGGCTGCGAGCTACCTGGCAGCTAGAAGGACACCAAGACCACGCGCTCCCAGGGGAGCACCGGTGGCTGGGACGTGTGAGGAGGGGATGGAGAGGGGGGATGTCCTCCAGCGGTCTGCCTTCTCCACATTTGTATCCAGGCTCAGGGGCAGGGGCAACAGCACAGGTCCACAACAAGGGCACAGGTGCACTGCTCCGTCACATCTCCTTAATGGTGCTGAGGGAACAAGGACCAAATCTGGGGGAGAGCTGACCTGTGGTGCTTGACAACTCGCAAAGCCACAGCAAACAGGCAGTGGGAGCCTCTCAAACTGGCAGCCTCATGTGATAAGCACAGCAGATAAAGCCACAGCTGTAGGAGATTATTTCCTTGTCAGCCATATCAACACCTCCACTCCCGTCCCTGCCTGCTGCAGTGCAGCGTGTGATGGCAGCAGACCTGTCAGGTGCACAGGCAGGCAGGCAGGCACACACCCTCCTCCTGGCACACCTCTGGGATGAGGCTGAGGGTGCTGCACCACAACCAGAAATACCCCTGCCCACCCCAGCCAGGTGAGAGACCCCTGTCCTTCCCAGGCACACCAGGGGTGGGCAAGCCCAGCCAACTTCACAGTGTTTATTTGCCTTTCACAATATCATAGAACTGCCTGGATCTCTTCTCCAAAGGTTGGTCCCAGGATCAGGACCCCTCAAAACATGGCAGCAGATGTTGGTCTCGGAGGTAGCCCTGAGAGCCCTGAGAGCCCCAGCTGAGAGGTTGGCAGAAGGAGAGGACAGCCTGTAAACCAGATAGCAATGGGGCTGAGTTGTTCCAATGAATGACTAGACTCACACAGATGGTGAGAGGGAGACATTTAATGTATTTTGCATGACTGGACATGTGAATATAAGCAGAAATTTCCTGCTTACAGGAAGGAGAGGAGAGGAGAGAGGAAGGGCTGAGGGAAAGCAAAAGCTATGTACGTGCAGGAAGAAGTAACCCTGATTTTTGTTTACAGCTATTGCAATAAGCTAGAGACCTTGGTGGAGCTCATGTTGCAATGTGGTACACGACGGCTGTGATGCTGTTATCTTCTGCCAGAGAGGCATAGATGAATCCTCGCCATCATCCATCCTTGCTGGCCTCAGGTCACCAGGCTGATGCTGGGGACTTACCTGGCTCCACAGTCAAGGAGCCCAGATCCAGCTGCAATGGCTCACAGGACCACACTGCACAGGCAAGGATGGTGGTAGCACGAGACACACAGAGACACACAGCCCTGGTAGCACTGCTATCCCTCCTGTCCCTCAGTTCAGGGGCAGCAGCCACAGCCATGGCACCCAGTAGCGGTGGCAGCAAGTATGCCTGGGCACATCAGCCTACCTGGAGTCCCAGTGCCCCCCTGGGCCAGGACAGGCACCCCCTCCCTGCTCTGGCCACAACTCCTGCTCCCATTTCATAACAGCTGGCCGTGCCTTTCCTTCCTGCAGGCTCTGACCCCTGTGGAGATGAGGCACAGCATGAATTCAGCTGGCTGACCTCCATGCTAGACAAAAGCCACATGATTCAAGTGCTGCAACACACACCAGTGCAAAAATTGCAGCTGATGGTTTTGCAGTCTTCCATGATCACGCCTGCTGCAGATCTGAGGGTCCTGAGCTGGTGCCCCAGCAAGCTGTAAGGGTCAGAGGTGTCTGGTAGCAACACAGGCTCATAAAAGTCACAGGCTGCACATTAGCCAAACTCTGCCAGTAACCCCTGGGGACATGGATTGCTCCCTGTTGCTTTTGGATATAAGCGGCATAGGCACAGCCTTAAGCATGAGTGTCAGTGTGAGTGTGAGCACAGGTGGCTGCAAGACAGAAAATGTTCTGAGCCCTTCATAGGCACCAAATAGCCTGTCTAAATGATTTATCCTCTAAAATGTAGTATGGGAGAAGCTGTTGGGTGGCTAGGGCAGTTCATTTAATTGCCTTATTATAGATTTGGGAGCATTCAGTTTTGGTCTGTTAATAAGAATGAGGGTGAATGTTATTTCATGTTAGGTTTAGCCATTTGAAGGCTGGACAATTATTACATTTTCTCATTTTCTGAAATGACCTAATCACCTATTCTATAACAAATTGTCTCTTTAGATCGTTGTTTTACATGACCCGGTCAAGTATTCTTTGTACTGCTGTGAATTTGTTTTATCTAATTCAGAGTTTTCACAAATCCACTGACAATTGCCTCTTAAAATGAGAAATATAAGCTTGATTCTCTTCTCTCTTACATGCCTGACCAAATAGGTTCACTTGCTTACACCATGTGCTTTGAAGAAAGAAATGCCTAATAATAAAAAATAACTGAAAACCAATATACTGGAAAATATCCTCTCTTCCTATTTATTTCATATTTTTAAAATTTGTTCTTTCAAAAGTATAACTGACTCAGAGTTCTCACACTTACCAAAACTCTTAGCAGAGGCAGAGCCAGATTTGACTGTGTACTCCATATAACAAATTTAAGTCAATATAATAAAGGGCAAAAAAAGTTTTTGTTCTTAATCTATAAAATTAAACTACATCTGTAGGATTTTTCAGCTCCTTTTCATATCTGGATTTAGCTTCCTCCTTTTCATGTTGTAATTAAAATTATAGATTATTAAAGTGATTTCTTCCAGCAAAACTGGTCTGCTCAGTATGTTCCAAATCCTACCTCTCTCTCCCCAAAGAAGAGCCAGCCTGTGTACCTCACTCTCCCTTTCTGGAGCCAGAAGCGCACCAAGCACCTTCAGCTCTTTTTGGATTCAGTGACATGGGTCACGACAATAACCAGGCTTTAAAGCAACTCTTTTATAGCTAGACACAGATAAAGTATCCTCTCTACACAGGTATATGAAAAGAGCTGTTCTCTCACACTTGTGCCATTTCACCTCATCTTGGCTGTGAATTAAGCCCAGATTCCCAGCTGCAGGGAGTGCACACTGTCATGGTTTAGCCCCAGCCAGCAACTAAGCACCACGCAGCCACTCGCTCACTCCCTGTACCACGATGGGATGGGGGAGAGAATCGGAGGAGTAAGAGTGAGAAACACTCCTGGGTTAAGATAAGAGCAGTTTAATAATTGAAATAAAGTAAACTAGTAATTGTGATAATAACAATGTAATAATGATAATAATAATAATATACAAAGCAAGTGATGCACAATGCAATTGCTCACCACCTGCTGACTGATACCCAGACAGTTCCCGAGCAGCAATTGCTGCTCCCCGGCCACCCCCTCCCCCCCCAGCTTATATACTAAGCATGATGTCATATGGTATGGAATAGCCCTTTGGGCAGTTTGGATCAGCTATTCTGGCTATGCCCCCTCCCAGTTTCTTGTGTTTCTTCTGGTGAAGCAAGCTGCTCTTTCATAAACCAGTCCTCAGGAAAAGCACGCCTGTCCTCAAACCTACTTCACTGTTAGTTCCTCTGCTAGTTGGTTGTTATCAGCATTCTTCTCATACTAAATCCAAAACACAGCACTATACCTGCTACTAGGAAGAAAACTAACTCTATCCCAGCTGAAACTAGGACAGTGCACTTATCTTTTAATCTGAATTTTGACAGGCATATTCATGGCACTTACAATACCTTGTTTCAACTGGTTGGTGTGTAAAGAGAAGGTTTAAGCAGTGTGGAAAGGACACAGAAAGCAGAAGCACGTTCTAGCATTCCCAATTTAGCTGGTATTGCTGGCCCTAGTATCTGCTGAGGGCAGAGTATCACATTGCCCTGATATGTTCAGCTCCACTGGCCACCAGTCAGACTGTGTGTGCTCTTGCTGCAGGGGTGGATGCTTGTGTGCAGGTGCTATTAAATGAAACAGAGTTAAAATATTTTTCTTTCTGGTTGAAAAATGGTTTTCTGATTCGAATGTGAAGATACTGTCAGCTCAGCCCAGTGTGTGATGAAGTAGGCTATGGGTTCATACTTCAGCTGACTGATAACCATTACAGTGGAAAAATAATACAAATTATCTTGCTGAGATAGTGGCTTACTTCACTCAATCTGCCTGCATATGTATTTTCCTGGCAGAGCCATAAGTGGAGCTTCCTGTTGATTATCTTGTCCATCAAAGCAGTAATTTGATTTTTTTTTTAATTAAATTATAGCAGTTTTTAAATTGAGGCTGAGGCTATGGAGCACCCGAAATTCTGGCAGCCTGGAGATCACACAAATAAGTCAGCTTGCAGAATTGTAAGTGTGACCAAGATTTGTGTATAGGTTGGTAGAATACAGTGCTCTTCTGTAGTAAAGCATAAAACTACCCTCTTGAATTGTACTCATCGTATAACCTCATTGGAGCTTTTATTTAGAGGACCAAATATTCTCCTGTTGATTCTTTTACAGGCTCATGATGAAGTCTGCCCTGAATTTCCACTGACTTGCGAAGGCTGTGGGAAGAAAATTCCAAGGGAGAAGGTATCCATCTGACTGTCGGTGAACCATGTGCTGCAGTGGTGTTTGATGTCCTGATGGGCTGACACCGGTGTTCCCAGAGCAGGGAGGAAAACTGAGACCATTAGAAAGTGGAGTGGGGGTAACAATTAAGTGGCAGCCATTAGTACAGTTGTCACCTTTCCATAAGGTTCAAAATACTGGTCGGGTGTGAGTGAACATGACTCATCAGCACTTACAGTTTTGCATTAGTGCTGCCAATGCCACCTCCCTTTGGGCGGTGTGTTTGCCATGTTTGGCTGCAGAGCCTCCATGGGAAAAACATGCTCATGGGTTTAAAGGGTACTTATGTCCTATGTAAAGCAACTATATCAGCCACTGCTGCAATTATGGAAAGGGAGCCCATCTCCAGCTAAATTAATTTTTCTAATCAATCATGTAATGGAATCCATGTCTATAGGGTGTCCATGCTGCTGGCTCCTGGGGCAAGGCTCAAAAGTCTGAAAATCAAAGTTTTGGGAAACATCTTCAACAAGCATGTTCATGTGAAACCATCCTGCCTGCTATGGGCAAATATTTTTAGTAGCAGTGTTGCAAAAGGCCATTGTAGCAGGGCAGGGGGGACAGAAGCATCAAAAAGATGAGCAAAGAGTTCTTCTAAATGGGCAGTGTAATGAAGGACTTTGTGCTGGGGTCTTGGGATACAGATCTACTTGTCTGCAGGCTGAAGCTGGAGCCCAGCAGAGACTAGGCTTGTAGGGTTCCCATAGGTGATCCATCCTTTGTTTAAATATTAACTCCCTCTTTTATCTGTCTCCAAACTTCTGTTGATTAGCTGCAGCTGTTGCAACTCTGATAACCTGACTCATTAAGCAAGCCAGATGGATCTAGAAGTTTTTAAAAACAGTTTTAATCGACATCTGTTGTAGCAGATGTAGGTGTTAAATGTGGAATATGGTTGTTGTTCAGAACAGAGCACTGGTATCTGATGATGAGAGGTATGTCAAAAACAAGATGATAATTTGCCAGTGCTTGTTAGCATTAATCATGCACTGTGTGGGAACCTAAACGAGTCATCTTGGCGGCTGGGGGGGTTAGTTGACTTCTCTGTAGAAATATCCACTGTTGGCCTCAGTTCTTCATGGCAGCTGCCAGATGAGAGGTGGCCAAGGTGCGGCATCCTTTGGTACCCCAGCGAGGGGATGCTGGACCCAGCAGAGCATCTTCCCTTGCCCAGGTGGACCTGCAGTAATTGCTATAAATACTCAGGCAGGACCACTGGGAAGCTTGTTGTTCTCAGATTTATAATGCTTAGCTGGAAGTAAAAATACCAAGCTGTGGCATGTCCTGACCAGGGTTACATGAAGTGCACAATATTAAACAGCTATCTGTTTCATAGGGTTGTTCCTCATGCCTCCCCTTCCTCTGCTCTCAGTGAAGCTTGTTGCTGAGCATCCATAACATGTACCTGTGCTGGTTGCTTTTTCTTTCATGCATATGCAGGTGAGAAGTGAGACCTTCTAGCTGTCAAGAGAAAGAAAAATAAAACTTCTTTCCAGGTGTCAGTGCTATATTTATATTACAGTGAAAGTCATACCTAATGGGTAGGCAGTGTCCAGCTTTAACCATGCACTTTGGCAGCTCGTGATTAGCAATGGCTTGGGTGTTCTTGAGATCGTATTCAGTTTCCTAGACATCAGCAAGATGGAAAGGGAGCTGCTGGGGATGCATAAGATCTAACATTGCCTGCCTTCCTTTCTAGTTTCGGGATCATGTGAAGACTTGTGGCAGATCTAAAGTGCCTTGCAGATTTGAGGTTGTCGGATGTGCTGAGGTGGTAAGGGCTTGTCTGTTGATGTTTATCATGGGACTTGTTTGCAGTTCCAGTGTTAGAGTTAACCTGCAGACTGCTGTTGCTCAAACTGTTACAGATGTTTGCGTTCAGAGACTTGAATAAAGTGGTGTTTCAAACCCTTTGCAAATGGAGCTTAACATCATCTGCTGTCCAGAGTTTGGGTATCCAGAGAATGAACTTAATGTGGAAGAGAACCTCCTCCTTCTTGAGAAACACCCTGAGTGCTTTGAGACTCTGGTGGTTATGCTGCTTCCAGCTGTAAGCACAGAACTGGGGCCAGGCCATATTTTTCCATGTGACTTAGTTTTCCTAGCTCCTGCTGGTGATGTTCATACAAATCCCAACTTGGGGGGATTATGTGAGGCTTTGTGCTTTGGTGCTGTTAAGTACATCTGACAGAGCCCTTTTGGGAAGTAATAGAGGAAGACAGAGTAGAGCAGTGTGTACAGCTGGGGAAACATTAAGCATCGTCATTGTATGTGATTTGCAGCATTTCTAAAACAAAACAAGCCATCCCCACCCCCAAAACAGGTTTTTAAAGTATCTTTCTTTGTTTTTTCCCCTGCATAATTTAAAGCTAATGTGACCTCAAAAGGAGGAATTTGTTCTGTGGATGGTGACAGTGTAGATTGAGCTTGCTGAATGGGGATGTATTTCTCTTCATGTAGGTGGAAAATGAAAAGCTACCAGAACACGAAAGCAAGTGTTTGGCGGAGCATCTCTACATGCTGCTGAGTGTTGTGCTCAGCCTCAAGGCTGGGTCTGAAGACCTAAAGCCCCTTCCTGCCCTCTCCTCATCACAAAACAACTCCCCACTATTGGCAGCAAACTCTCTGTGCTCTGAGTCGGAGCTCTCCAGGTCACTGGAGCTCTTGGGAAGATGTGAGGCCCTTGAGAGGAAAACGGTGACCTTTGAGAACATTGTCTGCGTGCTCAATCGGGAGGTGGAAAGAGGTGAAAAGAGTTTCTCTAACAGCTGAAGCCTACAGTCGGCAGCATCGACTAGACCAGGAGAAAATCGAAACACTGAGTAATAAGGTGTGTAACCACTGGCTTGGGCTTTCCAGCGCTCAGCACAGACTTCTTTTCAGTTTCCTTTCCATGTTATTAGCTAGCAAAGCTTCACCACCTAGTCCTGCATCTCCACAAATGTGAAGGCAGAACTAAAATATTGTTTGTGCCTGTGCCTAACCCTCAAAAGCTTCCTGGAAAAGATGGGAATTAAACTGACATGCATGAAGCGTTCAGATCTCTGTTAGTAATCACATTATGCAGACATTGAGATGTTGTTCCTAGGTGAAGTTTTCCAACAAGAGACAGAGCACCCAGCATTTCACTGGATCCCTCTGAATCCATGGGGCTGCTCACCTTCCAGACCTTTCAAAAGGAGTGTAATCATTGACACTGTGCTACAACATTGTGCCAAGCATGGTCTGGAGGTGTGAAGAAGCTGCCCCCACCAGTATGCTCCATCACAGTCCCTGCTGAGCGCTGCCAGTGTGTGTTGGCAGCTGTGAGTTGTGCAGTTTGCAGCATACCTGTGCTCTCTTGGCAAGGGAGCTGCCAAAACTGGCATGACCCTATGTTAGCTAGCAGTGATTAACACTGTGGAGACCTTGTTGGCTGGGTGTAGGTTCTTCTCTTTCTCTAGTTTTGTCACAATGCTGAGGTTTCCCCCTGCTGCCCGCCCCCATCCTCACTTTTTGTGCTGCTAACATAACGCAGCTGCTTGTTGGGAGGATTTTTCCATTCACTGTGGGAAAGTTTCTAGCTTAAGTACTGAGTTGTATTGATGCATGACAGGGTTCAAAAGGTAGCTTCAGTGAATTGGCTTACAATGCTAAATTTCTCCCTCCTGGGACACCTGTCAATTCTGGAAAACGTCTCTCACTAAAGAGTCATCCTGAAGGGGATGCTGGTGTCTGCTGGCTCTCTTGGGTCTCACAGCAGTACATGTTTCTAACCAGGCTGCACCGTGTATCCCACTGAGCAGGTCCGGCAGCTGGAAAGGAGCATTGGGCTCAAAGATCTGGCCATGGCTGAGATGGAGGAAAAGATCCGCAACATGGAAGCATCCACCTACGATGGTGTTTTCATCTGGAAGATAACAGAATTTGCCAGGAAGCGTCAGGAGGCAATAACAGGCCGCTCTCCTGCGATCTTCTCTCCAGGTTATTGCCAACAAATTTGAAAAACTGCAAAAGCCTTTTGTGTCTCAGCCGGGTGTGGGATTTGTAGCAGTCCTTATCAGGGGAGATGCTGGCCATTCAGATGTACTTCTGTTCTGTCCCCCTTTCCCTGTGGAGCCTGGAACATTTTTTTTAGCATTGGTCTAAATGAAACTGCTCTGCTGAAAGAGGTACTTTTTTGATTGCAGAAGACCTTTTTAATTTCTCATAATAGACAATGCAACCCTCTTAGCTCTGGAATAACCCTGCATAACCCTTTAGTTAGAATTAAAATACTCAGAGACCATAAAACCAGCAATAAAATGGTTAAGGAAGGGAGGAAATATATATATATTGGAGCCCCAATATTTCAGTGCCTGAAGCATGACAGTGCAAGAGACGATGTCTAAATAAAGCCCAAACCATACCTAGGGAAGTGCTTGAATATCTGCTGGAGGAAGGGGCTCTCCTTGCAGAGCTGCCCCAGCCCAGCAACTGTTCTTCCTATTCTTAAAAAAGAAATTCTCGGACAGTGAGCAGTAGGTTGTGATCTGGCTTGTTTACTTATGAAGGCACTTCCCAGGCTTGCAGCTGTAAGATGAAACCATCTCTTCCCACAATTTCATCGCTCAGTGAGGAGCTCACCTCGCAATGTAACGGTTGAGGAGTTGAGTTTGTGTTTGCCTGAGCAGGAGTCACTTTAGATATAAGCATGCTTGGAGAGCTTTTTCAAAATGCTCAGAGCTGCATGCAACCCTAGAGCATGTACCTTACGCCTGCTTCCTGGTGCTGTGAAAAAGCAGACTATGGCTGGGCCACAAGATAAAAGCAATTTAATTTTAAAAACTGTTTTTAAATCTCTTTTCTGGTTGAAGGCTGTCCAAAGTCCTTTTTCTCTTGAAAAACTGAGAGGAAAAAAGGATTCCCCTTCTTGAGGGAAAATAAACTGCTAGTGAAACTGTGCACATGCAATTAGCATTTCCTTTTAAAAAGCAGCAGCCGTGGAAAACCCCCACTCTCCATCCCCTTTGGGAAGGGCTGCACTTCCTTCCTTTTCCCCAAGTGAACAAATATGCTTCAGATCTATTTTGTTTGACTTAGAGGGGACCTTAATTCTTGCATCCTGTCCATCTCCTGCACCATGCTCGAGAACTGCTTGACCTGAACATGTCCAGAGGCTGCCGTTTGGAGGGAGGTGCTGGACAGAGCTGACTCTTGTTCTCTGGCCACAGGCATCCTGGCTTGCTGTGCCCCAGCCCCAGCACAGCTCCTCAGGTCCCTCCACGAGCTGATGCCACCTCAGGTCCTCACAGGGGGGGTGGGATTTGTTTTTCTAGGTTGGACAATCAAGTCAGCTGGTAGAGGGATATAAGTATCAGTGTCAGCCCAAGGGAGGGAAAGGGGTGAAACCTCTCCTAATGCAAGAGGCTTCATCTGTCCAGACATTTGTTTGGCCGTGCTCTGAATGCACAGTTCCTCCCAGAAGTGCAGCTCATGGTTGCTGGTGCCTCCTCCATGCTGCGTGCTGGCTGGTCTCCATCCTGCACCTGGCAGTGGTGGCAGGGCTTGGGGCTTTTATAAACTGTTTCATCAAAGGAAAAACTACTTTGCGGGCCACCAGACTGTGTTTGTGTTGCTGGTTGGTCTCTGCAATCTGCTAATGAAAATCTTGTATGTGGCTGGAGGGATTGGAAGGTGAGGGTTGCCTCTGCCTAATGCTGGGACTGCTTCTGGAAAAGGCAGGACTTTTTTTTTTTTTTTTTTTTTTTTTTTTTTTTTTTCTTGCAAGGGCGAAGTACAAAGGCCTTGTTTCCTGCAGTAGTTGATTGTGTTGCTTAGATGAGAGGTCCTCATTCCTGGTGCTGCTTTAGCTGAGAAAATTAGGTGGATAAACAAAGGTTTCTTGTGGAGGTGGGGTTTTTTATCTTGGAAAGTAAAGCAAATAGACTAGTGCTGTTCAGTCTGGGAAGAAGATGGGAGGAGAGAGGTCTAGGTTGCGAATGGGATGAAAAAGGAAAATGAGTAGAATTGTTTCTTTTGTATTTAAATATAAAGGCGAGGAAACGCCAAATTAAATCAGTGTTAAAGAGAAGGAAGTAGAGTTACCACTCACTCGTGTTGTGAGGACATGACGACTGCCACAGGATTTTGCAAAGGGCAAAATCATAAGAGTTCAAAAAGGCAAATTCACACAAGAAAGGTTCATCAGGGGCATGAACCAGGACAGTCTGAAGCGAAGCTCCTGTTGGAAAGCCACCCGTTGCTTGCCATCAGATGCGAGGGGCCAGCTTGCTGGGCTCTTGCTTTGCTTCCGATGCACTTCACATTTGCTTGGGCCAGTGGGAAGCAGGATGCCCATGTCACTGCGCTGGGGTGGTAGCATGGTGCACAAGGTGTGTAGCACTCTGGCTACCTGGTGCCTTTTCCTGGGTACTCCCACTGCTCTGGGGCCATCCTTCCTCCAGTTCCCCGCCTGGTTTTACATTCACAGGGTTACAGGAGTGCTGAGAAGCCCCAGGTGGGTGGTGAGGATGTGCTGCTTGGACTAGTAGAGGGTGGCACCTGCCCTGAAAGCCTTTGGGTGAAGCAGGTGGAGAGGAAGGAGTAGAGGAAACAAGTTGGGGAGTGCCAGGAGGGAAGTGGGTGAAAAAGCCCTGATCTCTTGCTCCTCACAGTGTGGAAGTGCACAGTATCTCTGCTAGTGCTAGTCTGCCTGTTCATAGAAGTGCACCGAGTCCTGCAGTAAAATACTGTCTCATCTCCTGTCCCGTGCCCTGAGGCTGCTGAGCCTCACCAGTCCTGAGGCACATAGCTCTGTGCTGCTGTGAGGGTGGTTTGCAGCAGGTCCCCTTCCAAGACATATTTCTGTGGCCCTGCATAGGTCTAGTGTCACAAGAGAGAAGGAGAGAGCCTGAGATCCCAGAGTCTGTACCCAGCTGTGCCCATGCCATGCAGAGCAGCTGCTCTCCTAACAGGAGACCAAAACTCACTTTCTTGAGTCTCTGCCCTCATCAGAGGCAGCCAGCTTACAAAGAGGGTGCGGTGAGTACTGAGGATGGTCTACCCCAAGTCAGGTTTTTTTTGGCATGGTTTTGTTCCTGCTCGTCAGTGTTATTTATTGCCATGAACTGCAGCTTCTTTAGCAGTCACGTGCAGCACAACTGGTGGGTCTGTAGGGGGATGCAGTGGGAAGCACCCAGCTTGTGGGCAGAGCTCTAGTTCTGGGCTCTGCCTGGGGCACTTGTGCCTGCGGTAGTGCATGGGGAGAGCCCGAGAGGCTGGCAGGTGCCCTGTTCTGTGCCGCAGCACTCTGCATCTTGGCTAGACCAGGGGCTTGTGACTGCCTGACCTTGGGCTGTCTCCAGGCCAGTCTAAGATGGCATCTGACTGTTGTTTGTACCTGGTGCCTTTCTGGACCACCTCTGTGGTACATGTATTTTAAGACCTAGATCTGGTTTCTTCCATGATCCAAACTTTAGAGTCCTCAGAGTTCAATGGAACCTGTCAGTGCCAGGCTTTGCTGGGTTTGACACTCACTGTGTTTGTTTTGCAACTCTTTGATAGCTTTCTATACGAGCAAGTACGGCTACAAGATGTGTCTGCGCGTTTACCTGAATGGGGATGGCACCGGGCGTGGGACCCATCTGTCCCTGTTCTTTGTGGTGATGAAAGGACCCAACGATGCGCTTCTGCGGTGGCCCTTCAACCAGAAGGTGGGTTTGGGACAAAGCTGCTAATACCCAACAACATGCCTCTCTACTTTTGCACCCTCTTGAGCTTCTAGATGCTGTCAGTCTGGCCTATTTAGCAAGCAGAAGAAGGAAGGACTTTGGTGTGTTGGCTGCCCTGGGGATTCCCCAGTTGTGCTGAAAGCACTGAGCATGCTACAGGGCAGGGGCATGAAACAGCAGAGGTTGCAGCAAGGAGAGCAGCAGTGTGTTTGGAAAGTGAGCGAAGCCTCTGCATGAATGTGGGATGAGGGAAGGTTGTTGTGGCCTCAGTACTCGGGGTGCAGCTGATCCTCCCTCGGCATCAGAAGCTCAGATTGCAGTTCCTAGACGTGGCAGGTTTGCAAAACACTTCAAGGCTGAGTGGATGAAGTACTGATGCAGAGAGAGCGGCCACCTTCTTTTGCAAGGGGACAGCAACCTTGTAGCTTAATTAAATACCTGCATGAGGTATTGGTGTTGGGAGTGAACGCCACGCCAGCCAGCTGTAGGTTTTCAGTCAGTCTGACAACCCTGTGCTGCCACACAGAATTTTCCAGTGACAGGGCAGGATGTGGGGAGGTTTCTGCAGAATGTCACCAAGATGATGTTCTCTGCTGACCCTACTTAAAGGCATTTCTCAGATTTGTAGGCACATGATGTGGCTATGGTTCCGTTGGTACTTGCACGTTTCACAGGCTTCAAGTGAGCAGGTCACTGGACTGGGTTTCTGTATGCTTTTTATTCAGCCGCTCTTGTATATTTATATGTTTCCCCACAGGTAACCCTGATGCTCCTGGATCAGAACAACCGGGAGCACATCATCGATGCCTTCCGACCCGACGTGACATCCTCCTCCTTCCAGCGACCCATCACGGAAATGAACATTGCCAGCGGCTGCCCGTTGTTCTGCCCCGTCTCTGTGATGGAAGCCAAGAACTCCTACGTGCGTGATGACGCCATCTTTATTAAAGCCATCGTTGATCTCACGGGCCTCTAACCCTCCTCACCTCCAGGAGCAGTGAACACAGAGCCAGCCCCAAGTGGGGCATCCCTCTCTTGTGCTGCCCTTCAGGCAGGTCTTGGAGCGAGGAGCGGGCAAAAAGCGGAAAGGGAAGAGCCCTTTCCAAAAAGGGACCTTCACTCTAAGTGGAAACGAGGTGTCTGATGGGAACCCTCCCTGAGAAGAGGTGTGGGTGGGTGTTCACAGTCTGTGGGGTTACAAGAAGATCTCCTGCAGGGACTTGGGTGCCTGGGCTACCAGTGGAAACCAGTGCAACTCTTGCTCTACCAGTTTAGTACACGCCCTCAGTTCTCTGTAGTAAAACAAGGATTTGGCCTGCCCGAGCACCACCTCGTGTGGATGTTTGGCTCAGCTGTCTAGGATTTTCTTCAGAGATCTCTGTGTTCCTGGAAGTTTTGTGCACTGCAGGGGTGCTGTTGCTCTGCGCTGCTGGCTGGTCTGTACCTCAGTTGACAGGAAGGATATGTGGCAGACTTGGTGCAAGCGGGGCGAAAGGTGCGAACTGTTTTGCTGCTGGTGTTCCCAGGCGCACTGTTCCCAGAACCAAGGGAAGGACAGGGGAAAGCTGCTGCTGGTGGGCAAGGCAGGCACTCGTAGAGGGCAGGGGCTGCCCAGCAGCCACCCACCACACAGGCAGACAAGAGACATGCTGCATCTGTCAGCACTGCAGCTGCAGAGGTGAGGGTGCTGTGCAGATGGATGGCGGCAGCGCAGGTGCAGATGGCAGCGGAGCTGCAGCCATATGTGCTCAGCAGCTAGAGAGGGCCCTGGGAAGGCTGGTACACCTGCGCTGCTGCAGCTGCCCCATGATGGGGCTGAAAGCCAGCTCAGGAGCATCTGTGTGTGCGTAAAGACAGCTTCCAGCACTGCCGCCATCCTGCCCACCGCTGCTCAGGCGCAGGCAGGCAGAGAATGGTGGGGTCTGGCTAAAAACCTGCCTTGGAGTCTCAGGGTTCAGGGGGCTGAAGTCCTGCACAGAGCCCTGCATCACCCTCCTCTCCCAGGACAGAACAGGCAGTCTCCAGGGAAGATTCACTTCTCTTTTCACTGCAGGCGTCCCTGGTGCTGCCCCACGCTCCCTCCCAGACAGTGGGCACTGCCTGCCCTGTCCAGCGCTCCCAGTACAAACCACCCATCGAACACAGCAAGGGTCAGATGTGGGGTACCGCTTCCCTGCCTGCCACACAGCTCAGTTCAGCACTCCTCTCTGCAGACACTGATGACACCAGCATATTTTTTATGTGCACTACAGGGACTTTATCCCTCTCTACAGTATGCAAGAGTCTTGATTGGGCAGGGCCAGCTTGATTGGCAGATCCCCTAGTGTTGACTAACCAGGTGGCTTTTGCTAAATGTGTATCCCAATGTTTAAATGTCCCACCACCAATTGCTCTCAGGGTAGTCTTTAGCAGTCCATTGTATCGTTCGATTTTCCTGGAGGCTGGTGCATGATAGGGGATGTGATATACCAACTCAATGCTATGCTCTTTGGTCCAGGTGTCTATGAGGTTTTGGAAATGAGTCCCGTTGTCTGACTCAATTCTGGAGTGCCATGTCGCCATAGGACTTGCTTTTCAAGGCCCAGGATACTGTTCCAGGTGGTGGCATGGGGCACAGGGTATGTTTCCAGTCATCTGGTGGTTGCTTCCACCATTGTAAGCACATAGTGCTTGCCTTGGCGGCTTTGTGGGAGTGTGATACAATCAATCTGCCAGGCCTCCCCATATTTATATTTCAGCCATCATCCTCCATACCAGAGAGGCTTAAACCGCTCAGCTTGCTTGATTGCAGCACGTTTCACATTCATGGATAACCTGTGCAATAGTGTCCATGGGCAAGTCCACCGCTCGATCATGAGCCCATCTATATGTTGCATCTCTTCCTTCATGGCCTGAGGTGTCATGGGCCACCGAGCTATAAATAATTCACCCTTATGTTGCCAGTCCAGATCCACCCAAGCCACTTTAATCTTAGCAGCCTGATCTACCTGCTGGTTGTTTCGATGTTCTTCAGTGGCCTGACTCTTGGGTACGTGAGCATCTACGTGACGTACTTTTACAACCAGGTTCTCTATCCGGGCAGCAATATCTTGGCACGCTGTGACAACCCAGATGGGTTTGCCTCTGTACTGCCTGTTACTCTGCTTCCATTGCTGCAACCAGCTCCATAGGGCATTTGCCACCATCCATGAGTCAGTACAGAGTTAAAGTACTGGCCATTTTTTTCATTCAGCAATATCTAAAGCCAGCTGGATGGCTTTCACCTCTGCAAACTGAATCAATTCCCCTTCTTCAGCAGTTTCTGCAACTTGTTGTATGGGGCTCCATACAGCAGCTTTCCACCTCCGATGCTTTCCCACAATATGACAGGACCCATCAGTGAACAGCACATATTGCTTCTCAGTTTCTGGTAGTTTATTATACAGTGGGGCATCTTCAGCACACGTCACCTCCTCCTCTGGCGATGTTCCGAAATCTTTGCCTTCTGGCCAGTCCATGATCACTTCCAAGATTCCTGGGTGACTGGGGTTTCCTATTTGAGCCCATTGTGTGATCAGTGCAACCCACTTACTCCACGTCGCATCAGTTGCATGATGTGTAGAGGGGACCCTCCATTTGAACATGCTGCCAGTACCTCTTTTTCAGTTGGAGTATAGCGGGCCTCAGATCCTCTGTATCCCCGACTCCAAAACCCTAGGGGTCGACCTCGAGTCTCCCCTGGTGCATTCTGCCAGAGGCTCCAGGTAGGGCCATTCTCCGCGGCTGTGGTGTAGAGCACATTCTTTATATCTTGCCCTGCCTGGACTGGCCCAAGGGCTACTGCATGAACTATGTCCTGTTTAAGTTCTTCAAAGGCTGCTTGTTGCTCAGGGGCCCCATTTGAAATCGTTCTTTTTCCAGGTCACTTGATAGAGAGAGCTTACAGTGAGACTGTAATTTGGAGCATGCATTCTCCAAAACCCCACAATGCCCAAGAAAGCTTGCGTTTCCTTTTTGCAAGTTGGTGGAAACATGGCTGTTACTTTATTGATCGCATCCATTGGGATCTGACAATGTCCATCTTGCCATTTTATTCCTAAAAATTGGATCCTTGTGCAGGTCTCTTGACCTTTGTTTTATGGCAAAACCAGCTTTCAGAAGGATTTGGAGTATTTTCTTCTCTTCTCAAAAACTTCTGCTGCTGTGTTGCCCCACATGATTATATCATCAATGTATTGCAGATGTTCTGGAGCTTCACCCTGTTCCAGTGCTGTCTGAATCAGTCCATGGCAAATAGTAGGGCTGTGTTTCCACCCCTGGTGCAGTTGTTTCCAGGTGTACTGGACACCCCTCCAAGTGAAAGCAAACTGTGGCCTGCACTCTGCTGCCAAAGGGATTGAGAAAAATGCATTAGTGATGTCAATTGTGGCATACCACTTGGCTGCCTTTGACTCCAGTTCGTATTGAAGTTCTAGCATGTCTGGCACGGTAGTGCTCAGCAGCGGTGTGACTTCATTCAGGCCATGATAGTCTACTGTTAGTCTCCACTCTCCATTAGGCTTTTGCACTGGCCATATGGGACTGTTAAAGGGTGAGCAAGTCTTGCTGATCACTCCTTGGCTCTCCAGTCGGTGACTGAGTTCATGGATGGGAATCAGGGAGTCTCAGTTGGTACGATATTGCCGCTGGTGCGCTGTTGTGGTAATGATCGGCACCTGTTGTTCTTTGACCCTTAGCAACTCCACAATAGAAGGGTCCTTTGAGGGACCAGGCAAGGTGGACAGTTGTTTAATCTCTGTCTCCAAGGCAGCTATCCCAAAAGCCCACGGGTACCCTTTTGGGTCCTTGAAATACCCTCTCCTGAGGTAGTCTATGCCAAGGATGCACAGAACCTCTGGGCCAGTCACAATGGGGTGCTTTTGCCACTCATTCCTGGTTAGTCTCACTTCAGCCTCCAATAGAGTTAGCTGTTGGGATCCCCCTGTCACTCCAGAAATCCAGATGGGTTCTGCCCCTCTATAGCTTGATGGCATTAGGGTACACTGTGCACCGGTGTCCACTAGAGCCTTATACTCTTGTGGGTCTGATGTGCCAGGCCATTGAATCCACACAGTCCAGTAAACCTGGTTGTACCTTTCATCCACCTGGCTGGAGGCAGGGCCCCTCTAGTCCTGGTCATAGTATTTGTTACTCATTTCTTGTAAATGTGAATCAAAAGTCCCTTTATTAAGATCAGAAGTAAAATCAGCCCTTTTACTTTGTCTGGGGAATTGCTCACTGGAAACTGGAGCTGCAGTTTTCCTGGAAGAACTGCCTTTTGTAATAGTTTTTTCTTGCAACTCACATACCTGTGCCTCTAGGGTCAAGGTAGATTTTCCATCCCACTTCCTCATATCCTCTCTGTGGTCATGCAGGTAAAACCACAGGGTGGCCCATGGTGTGTATCCACTGTGTCCTTTCTCTTGAGCAGAGGGACGCTTACTTCTAATGGTGGAGATACTGGTCTGTACAGGTGGAGAGTAAGACATATCCTCTTTGAGTTGCTGGAACTCCTGGGACAGTTCTTCAAACAATTTTTCCACAGCTGAGATGCAGGCCCGTAGGGAGGAAGAGAGACTTTCTTCATATTGCAGAGTTGGCCAGCCAATTCATCCACCATCTGTTTCTCTCCGTCTTTCCATGTCATTACTGCCAATGAGTTTGCATGCAGCGATACAAACCGACAAACTTCCACCACGTGGGTTGTGTGCACCTGACTTCATCTGGATCTTTGGATAACTGCTCATTGTCCAGGTCACCATAAATCACCTCCAGTACAGCTAATTCTCTCAGGTACTGAATGCCTCTTTCCACGGTGGTCCACTTGCCTGGGTGACATAAAACATCTTCCTTGAAGGGATATGTTTCCTTCATGCCTGACAGGAGTTGCCTCCAGAGGCTGAGGGTTTGTGCCCCTTTTCCAATCGCTTTGTCAGTGCCCCCTTCGCTGGAAAGCGA